CGCAGTCGGCCCAGTGTACCTTGTTGTGTGGAGTGACTTACTGCGGGCTGAGAGTCAAGCTAAATGGCTCCTTCTTAATGTGGCCTTTATGACGCTCCCAGGCGAGAGTCTACCTAACAAGGTGGTGTCGTTGTGGCGCGTGTTGGAGTGTGTTTCGCGCACGCTGCCTGCGTCCTCCCCCATCTTCGGTCTTCTCGACTTTTGTTCTGACATCGGGTTCAGGTGCGGGAGTGGTGAAAGAGTGGGATAAATTCCCCGCAAGTCTACTCTCACAATAATCCCGCGGGAGTCACCGCGTTGCTTCAATTTGATGAGGCTCGTGGTGGACATCGTCGAGAGCTACGATCGAACTGTCGATGACGGAAGTCGTTGCATCTCAATCTTTCATCCCGAGTGCCTTCCAAGTTGAGAGGGCGGTCACCGATTGAAACGCCAGGCTGTCTATGACTTCCCAGTCGGCTCTCATTCATGCTATTTTAGAGTGCCGACGTCATTTAATCTTTTCTCAACTTCCGCCGTTTTGCTTTTATTTACGTATAATTACGCCGGATGATAAGCCATGGTTTTTGGGTTACCTTCAACAATTTGTCCTATCCTTCTTAAAACAGAACAGATTATCTTCACATCCTGTCTAAAAAGGACCCATATAGGTGGAATCTTTGCGTTTAGTTAATTCTGCTTTAAGTTGGGCATGGTTCATATCTAGAGGACAAACCCACTATCAGCTTAGCCCCAGAAAAATGAAATAACTGCACCGAAACCAGTCAAGTCATTGTAAATTTCGGTTACCAAAAGTCTAATCGCTGCAGTCCACTATTTCGTGAGCATTCTCTTCAATTACAAAAAGCAGTATGCAGACTATTTTAACATGCATTTTTATTAGGCGTCAATCATGCCTCTACATGCGTACAATAGGTGGTACTGAGGGTTCAGTTATACCATACCCGCTTGTCCTCTTCAATGGGACTGAATGGAATGCCATTTACGCCGTACACGGTGTTTTGCATTACGGAGGTGCGTGCAAACTGCGACTTCTTGATATCATCGAGTTTAATGTTGTCCGATAGGCGCCAGCCAACGTTCCACGCGGAGGATAACTTCATGCCAAACTTTTCGTCCGGACCTTGGCGGTTGCGAACTTTCAAGTACTTTGCCCTTATGGCAGAAAAAATAACATAAATAACTTGTTTGACTCAGCAAACCGTTTTATATAGCCTCTCTTCTCTTGGTTGCTCTTATCGTGATCTGTTCATGTGTCAAAGTTAACTGGAGTCAACCCATCTCCGGAGGATATTCTGCACTCGATTTCAAAATGTGTGGAGGATTAGATGATCGCGGTTTTTATTCAGTGTTTTTCCTAAACAGACCGACGTAAATAGTTTTCTCCTGGGCCGTGTTTTAGGGCTCTTTGCTGTCTCTGGGCTATAGTTGGCGATATATATATATATATATATATATATATATATATATAT